AAGAAATATAAAAATTTATCTTAATTACAACCGACTACTTTCGGTAACAAAGTTACCATCATCAGGTATAATATCAACACTGTAGATACCAGCTCTGATTATGGTAACTGTGTTACCGAAGCTAGTCCGGCTATATCTAATATATAATAAAGGTTTTACCGTTCATTATGCCAAAAAACGACTATTTTTTGTGTTTTTTAATAATGTAAATGAGCTAGGTTGGGGCAATTTTATGATAAACTTTGCTGCAACGGCGCCACCTAGTGGCAGCTACATAGCCAAAACTCAATGAAGTTTTGCGAGCTCAGAAAAGTAATTTTAAAATTCTTAAAACGGCTCGACAATTGATTCTTGAAGCATTCTAATGCAAGAACTGTAGCGGCCTTTGATATTGAAAGACATAGTAATAATTCTAATTCATACGATACGTGAACAAGAACTAAAATTACAGCTACAAATTACAACTTAGATAAAATCTCCAATACTTAAAAAATGGCAACTGAAATATGTCCAATATATGTATTTACGTGTGATGGGATGTAATTTGTAAAGTAGGCAATATGAACAATATTACTTTGCAAAGGACATAAGTAAAGCGTATTTTAACAAAAAAGTTTATTCGAAACTTAAAAATTGTAGACTGCTATTCCAATGCAATACATATGACTTTGTTTGCATAATAGCAATTTACTTTCTTTTTGAATAAATACTATTTTAAAAAAATTCTCTTTTTTTTTCAGTTTGAAGTATAGGAAACATTTTCATCAAATAGTTGATATAAAAATATGCTTCTTTCAAGCCATATACTTTCCTCTCAAAGCGATGTGTCAAGAATTGACAGCTGGGAAGTTAAAAGTAAACGTTTGTAATTTTTTCTTATTATTGTTTTCCGCTTACTAAATTAACAATTTGGTTTAACAAGATACTGTGTTTCACCCGATTTTGATAACCCTAAATCACTACCAATTTATATATCAATAACTATGTCAAATCTTGGTACTCTTACCATGAAAAAAAATTCAGCTTACATAAAAACATTATTATAAATTAATAACAAACAACCAATAAAACACAACTGTCTTAATAAAGGCGGTAGTTATGTAGGTTATAACGAAAATGTGAAATATTTAGAAAATACTATGGCAGCTTCTTTTGTCTTCTTGGTACTTAGATTTTTGGGTACGTGAAGTTATTTTCAATAAATGTTTGAGTTTGAGGATAATTTTTTTAGCATTTTTACGTAATATATATATATATAATTCTTTAATTATGAAATCAGGAAAGACATTTTCTATCAGCTTTTTAATTTTTAGACTTTAGGCACATTTCCAACATTATGATTTCTCTTGAAATCGTCCCATCAGGTCGAAAGGTCACTCTGTGCTTCTGAACTATTTCACACCAGTCTTCCCAGAAATGCTCTAACTTTTCCGAGGGTATTCTTTTTATGATGGCTTCAGGCATAATTGATTCACAAAATTCTATAAATGAAAAATAATAAACATTCAATAACAATTAGTGATCTATTTTGGAGAAAATCTGAGTGTAAATGAACGGGCAAACAATGGATTAACACTTAAAACAGCAAACATTCTACTTTCATAAGATACATAACCCAAGGAACTTCAAAACACTATAAAGTTGATAACTGTCAAAAATAAGTTTATCCAGAATCAATAACCTTCAATTTACTTAACAGTAAATATATTAACATCAAGTATTTTAACTTAATGACAAATATATCAGCATTAACTGTTTTAATTTAATGGCAGATATATAAGCATCAAGTGTTTAAAGTTAACGGCAAATATATCAGCATCAAGTGCTTTAACTTAATGGCAAATATATCAGCATTAAGTGTTTTAAGTTAATGGCAAACATGTCAGCATCAAGTGTTTTAACCTAATGACGGATATATCGGTATCAATTATTTTAACTTAATGGTGAATATATTAATGAAACTTTTCTGCATACTTGTGATCTTGCAAGAACAAGGTGAAGTGTGAGCAAGATGCAACAGCAGTGTGAAATGCGTGAGGGCTGAAAAAAAGGGGGGAGAGTATATGCTATTGGAAGTCTTTTTACAGAATATTTTGTTGTTTCTAATATGAACGGGTAGAATGTCTTGTTTTACATGAAAGTATGTTATAGAAGAGCTGGAATATAGTTACAGCCAGAAAGAATATGTTTTGTCTTAGTGTAGATCCCTTCACCACTGGAATCTTGATGGTTAGTTATGAATGACGAATGGTTATCCATTCTGAGTAATGGCCGAATCTGTAGCTTGAGGTAAGCGTGTAAAAAATTTAATTATGAAAACTTGATTGGGAACAATTCAACTGTGTGGTATTGTTTTGGGAATATTATCATATAAAACGTATTATCTACATTGGCCTAACTGTAAAGTGTCTACAGAGATCAAAAGGTCATAGGAGAAGAATTTCAATGGCCATGGTTGAGGATTTTTTTATTTTTATTTTTCTTTTGTCAAAGGAAGAACAGCTCACTCAAAGCCTAGATCTTAGCCATATAGAACATCTTTCAGACCACAAGGAAAGAGACTGACTTGAAATATCAGACCAAAGCCTTTACTGGTAAAATATCAGTGAAGACAGACTGTGCCATGCTGGAACATGTTCAAACCTAAATAAGAGTATGAAAAGGCAACAGCAGTTATTCAATCCAAGTGTGGTACTACACTATATAAGACCATTGTTCTGTATATGGATTCCCATCATTGTTTTAGTTTACTACTAGTTCTCTTACGTTTAGCAATATTTGCCCATTTTTTTTCCTTTCAATAAAACTTGTGTACCATGTCCTCGTGTTTGTAGCACAATGTATAATGAAAAAAACTACTATTTGAAATGAAAAGAGCTAATGTATGTATCAGACTCTATATTTTCACATATTTCTGGGTGTTTCATTTTCTTGAATCAATTGCTCTGTTTGAAATAAATTACCCTAGTTAGATTACATTAACTCATCAGTTAAGTGCCCTTGCTGATAACAGTTTGTTAGGCAGAAGGTGATTTGTAATTCGTTAATTATACTTACGTATGTAATGGCTTTTCGAACTGAATACTTGAGTTGAGGGTGTTAGTGCAAAGAAATCAGTATCAAACCCACTTGCATCTGCTAGCTTCTTAGATGTACTACAAGGATTTTTGCAGTCATAAACCACCCAAAAGAAGTCTTCTACATTCTACAAAAATTACGTCTAATCTTACAAAAATGATTTATCTCATCAACACAATCTATAGCTAACAGCATATAAAAGTATTTTTAATATCTAACTGATAGATTTTATAATTGTATATATAAATATTTAACTTACAAAACCTATAAAAGACAAAAATTATTATTTAACTGACACAGTATGAAAAAGGAAATATTATTATAATTACTTAACTAAAAACATATAAACAAAAAAACTTTTTATTATTTAACTAAAGTTTTTAACCAATTTTTTATAATTTACTTGACACGTGTTATGAATGGCAGGGGTTCTTTATTATCTAGCTAATGGCAGAAAAATTTTTATAGACTAAGTATTATTTAATTAATCTTTTAATATAAAAGCCCTATCATTAGTTGCTTTCGATGATTTGGTCGCCTTATATTTTGTTTGTTTGAATTTATGTACAAAGCTACACAATGGGCTCTCTGTGATCTGCCCACCACGGGTATCGAAACCTGGTTTCTAGCTTTTTTTGTATTTCAATTAATTAACTCTTATCTCCCCCCCCCCACAGCGGTATGTCTGCGGGCTTACAACGCTAAAAATCGTATTTCGATACCCGTGATGGGAAGAGCACAGATACCCCATCGTCAATCTGAGGGTCGCGGGTTCGAATCCGCATCCCACCAAACATGCTCGCCCTTTCAGCCGTGGGGGCGTTATAATGTGACGGTCAATCCCACTATTCGTTGGTAAAAGTGTAGCCCAAGAGTTGGCGGTGGGTGGTGATGACTAGCTGCCTTCCATCTAGTCTTACACTGCTAAATTAGGGATGGCTAGCGCAGATACCCCTCGTGTAGCTTTGCGCGAAATTCCAAAAACAAACAAACAAACAATACCCCATCGTGTAGTTTTGTGCTTACTTCAAACAAACAAACTGTTATCTTTTTTCAAAAGAAAATGTACTAACTTTTTCGTAAATATTATATTTTAACGTTCCTAGTTTTGCAATAAAGTATGAAATTCGTATTGAAACATTGAATAACACTAGAAAAGATTAATTGAGAATTTTTTAACAGTAACCTGAAAAAAAACGTTCCTATTTTGTTCCAGATTGAATGTTTATAAAGAAAAGAGATAGTTGTTATTGGTAATAGGATAAACTACCCAGCTTTCTTAAATACAACAGGATAATCTAGAACAAGTACAATATGGTAATTGGATAAACGACTTAGCTTTCTTAAATACATTAGAGTTGTCTAAAACTATTACGATGTGGTAATTGGATTTCTCAAATACGCTAATATAGAATAAAGCATACTCGAGTTTTTCTATTACAATGTGTTAATTAGACGCACTACCTCACAAGTAGTTAATTGAATAAAATTCTCTACTTCTACAATTACAAAAAGTAATCTGTTGTCTATTTTCGCGCAAAGCTACTCGGGAATTATTCTGCGCTAGCCGTTCCTAATTTTGAAATTACAAGTAATATAAAACATTTTGTAAATGTAAAATGGTGTGGGGATGGCAGTGCTAAAAATAAAGTAAACAAGAATATAAGGATGATACAGCTATACATAGATTATCCCTACACGACTTCCAACATTAAAATTTGATATTACACTGTAAAATGCATACTTGACTTTAACATTACTGCAGTTGGAAGTTATATATTCCTGACTGTTGGTATGCTGTTTGCTTATCATAATATCATGGTCATGTCAAGCTAGGCATTAATGTAGTACAACTAAGAGCCTAGGATTTATGTACCAGGAAGAAGAAGTTGTCTTAAAATATGTTTTCGTTATATTAATAACTTTTACACTCTCGCTACGAGGTCTGTCGAACTGACCGACCTCGCAGAGAGAGAGTCTGCAATAATCAAGCGAAATTCAACTATTCGATTAGAATAGTTCACGAAGGAGCGGTAGGTTGTGTTGACTAGACTTAATTAATTCAAATAAAAAATCCAACTAAATATATTATTTACTTATATATATGTATACATAGCTTAATACACTCAAAATATTTATTGCATTTATTGTAAAATATATTACAACAAAGATTTTGCTCAATATTTATTTAAAATATTGCTTTATTTGTCTGTTATCAAAACGTTTGTTAAGGCACAGACAAATGTAAACTTCGGAACTGATCTAGAGTTACTCTGGCCTTACCTGTATATATTCCATCCACTGTGGTAGTTTTGATATCTCTTTAAAACTGCTTAATACTTCTTCAGTGCATACACCCAGAGCAAGAAAATAACCACCTGGTTTCAATAAACGGTGAAAGACCTTTAAAAGTTGTGAGGTATCTCTGATACAGTGAAGTGCAAAGATCGAGAAAATCTTGTGAAATGTTCCCTCCCATTCTGTTGGAATCCTACAAGGAAAACCAAAACAGTAGTAAAAATATTTCCACACAAGAAAAACTAATTCACATTTAGAGTAAATAAAACGAAGTCAAATAAATGGGTCTTTCACATGTTTGAAAACCCTTAAGTTGAAGTGACTGTAATGTGGTTTACCCCAGAACATCAATCCCACAAATCTTATGTTTCAATCTGTTTCTCATGAGAAATATAAACCGGCGAAGCTTGTTCTGTAGATCGATAGTTTATGCGATGTTTCTTCTGTATAGCATTTTTTTTCTAATATAAGATTTAATATAAAAAATATTTAACACCAATTTGAGCATACAAACGGGGGTTGAAACAGCTGCGAAGTTTCCTCCACAGATTAAACTTTTTCATAGAATTTGTTGTTGTCTTTTCAGATTACAAGCATACTCGTCTGAACTTCTAAATGTTAAACAGCAACTGCAAAGACGTCTGGGAGTTCTCGAGTCATAGCATAAAATTCAATAATTTAAACTATGTTAGGGTTATTAAATTTATCTTGTTGGACTGTAGTTAAAGTCTTGTTTGTTTGTTTTCAATTTCGCGCAAAGCTACACGAGGGCTATCTGCGCT